GCTAAAATGCATGCAAGAGAAGAAATGTAGCCAAATAGGTAAATAAATACCAGTTTATGATTCCCTTTTGCATCCCTCCCCCCATCTGGTTTCTAGTGGCAACAAGAACCTTCACAGGAGCAATGCATCTCCTGTGTCACACGACTGTCTCTATTCAAGTGTTGTTTTTTTGGCCTGGTCTGTGTAGAAATATCTTTCTGGTATAGAAAAATGAGTTGAATGGGAAGGGAAGGTGCTCTTGTCTACCCTGTTTGGGGAAAAGTTGTGCTGGTAGGAAGAGCATGCGGTGGTGTAGCTTATGCTGGGGGAAATGGGATGGAATTGCTTTGCTGCTCTTGCTTATTCTCTCTGGAAAGCAGCGAAGAGCCTCGCTGGCAAAGTGTGTCGTCTGATGTGAGCAGGGTCTGCCCCAGGCTCTTCTGGCTCTGAACTCTGATGTCTAAACAGATTGCTGGGTTACATGCTGAGTGTGACTGAATGCCACTGAAATGCAGTGGAGCAGAATTTCACGCTCCTGCTGCCCTGGGCTTGCTAGAGGTGTTTGGGGAAGGCAGAGATGGAAGAGGGCACTTATTTATCTGGTGTGGCATGTGAAGCATTAAGCTTGTGGCAATTCCAGGCTCTACTGGTATGGGATCCTGTGACTCAGCTGGTGCCGTGCTCTTTCTTGCTCGCTTCATATGGAGGGGGATGGTAAAGAAAGAGCAATCAGAAGGATTGCTCAAGGGACCATCGTACCTCTCAGACTATGCAAGCATCAAAGCGAGTGAGCCTGCAATTAGCCAAGAAGAGACAAACGGAATGGGCTAGATTGTCAGTAAGCAGGCAGGGAACAAGCCAAGAGTAGAGTACGATGGTGTACTCCTTGTCCTTCCTTCATGCACACTCTTTTAGTGTACAGAAGGAGCATTGCTGTGTGCTTGTGGTTGGTTTGCTGCCTTATTGCCTCTTTCTTATTTTTCTTTTCTCTTCCTCCACTGTAACAATGAGGTGTAACATTGAGGTGTTACAGACCCTACTGTGACAAGAAAAGCATCCCGCCTCCTTTCGTGGTGTCTGATCACTCATAGTCCACTGTTTGGCTCTGTGGTGTATTGGCTTGATTCAAGAGAAATCCTGTTGATATGTGGGGTTCTTGCTCAGTTAAGAGAGAAAATGCTGTAATGATTTTTTTTTGGGGGGGGGTGGGGAGCAAGGGAGAGGAAGTATGTTTCATTGTTTGTAGCATCTGGCATAAGAAAGGTAATACACTGAAGGAGAACAACCTCATCTCTTCTCTGTATATATTAAAGGATAAGATGCTGAAGTCAAATCAGGAGCTGTAGATCTTTCCACAGTGAAAGCGAGCTAGTAAATGCAGCAGTACTTAGCATTCAGGAGCTTAATTCAGCCTTGGCCTTCGGAGAATTCAACTCCTGTCTCTCCCCCTTCCTTCAGCTCCCCCTTAGACAAAATATATCACACTGCATGTGCAGTACCTGTCCTAAGGAAGCCAAGAACATTTAGCTGAAGTACAGGGAAATGCTGCGCTTAGGGTTTCCTGACAGCCTTTGTTTTTGGTGTGGTTATAAAGTCTGGAAGCACCTGAAGTTGCTCTTCTGCCCACATCCTACTGATGTTCCCCACCCTGTTTGGCAGGTGGAGGGAAGGGATGGTGTGTAGGGAGGAGGCAGTTCCCTTCTCTGTCTCCATTTCCCCTGTGTGGTTCTCCTGAATCATGTTCTCCCTTTGGGGTGTGGTTTTGCAAGTTAGTTTGTTTTTTTCTGATGTCAAAGCTGATTTCTGAGGTTCCTACCCTTTGGTAACCCTCAGGATGTTCTATTAGGCAATGCAGCGATTTCAGCCTAAGGAGTTTCTATCACTGTCCCAGTCACCTCCACTCTGTGTGCAACTATTTTATTTTGTTTGCCTTGTGCAAGAAAAGGTTGTTTGTAAGAAGGGATGGCTTTCAACCCAGCTCAGCACCGTCCTTAGAAACAATTTGTTGACTTGGAGAGGCATATGTGTTTGTGCTGCAGAAGTGCAAATGAATGGTTGTGGCTACACCTTTCTTCAAATAAAACTAAAGCTAATAAAACTTAGTGCAAGTGGGAGCTTGGAAGAGCAGAAACCTCATGGAGTATCCTTGCTAATGTGGAACTGTGCCTGTATTTACTGCATGCTCTTCTCCTGCCATGACATGCAGCTGTACTAATATTCTCATGGACTTTTCCATGGCACTTAACAACAACAACTACTTTTTGCAACACCGTTTTGTGAAAGTAAACTAATGCATCTCCTTTCCAAAATCAAGGGCCAGCATTGCTATCACATGTCATTGTCTAGTAAGAGGGGAGGTGTACTTTAAGTACCTAGATTTAATTTCTTTGTATTGTCAACAAGCTGAAAATAAGAGGCTGGTGCTGTCCTGTGCATTTTCTGATATGTCCTCTCTTTTTTTTTTTTCCCCCAATACCTTTTGAGTTCATTGCTTAGTTTGCTCAGCTGAAGGAAGAACTGAGGAGTGTCCTAGCTTGAAGGAAAGGCTTCAAGAAATGCTATCCTTTTAGACACCAGAGACTCCATGCCAGAGTCCATAAAGGCAGAAAACATGGGAGAAGCACATTCGAGAGCTGAAGTTAATCATGAGGCCCAAACTGTGGGAAATGTGGCTTCCTTAGATGCAGTGCCTGCAGAACCGTTTCCTTCCGGAGGTGCTGTGTGTGCTCTCTGCGAGTTGGGTGCTCAGCACAGGAATTTACTTGCATCCCTCCCTGAGTATCTGCAGAGAAGGAAGGGAGAATCATTTTTGAGTTCATTAAGTGTCTTGTCTTGAAGTCCAAAATTTCTAGAAGAATGAGAATTCTGGCTGTGTGTGCCAGTTCTAAGTCTTTCAGGGTACTAGCATGTTGGGAATCCTACAGACAATCAATGCTTCCAACATCTTCCACTCCATTAGGTGAAGCAGGAGTCTCACCTTTTAGCTTGTATTTTTTTTTTCCAAGGGTGTGATCATTACAGTGCATTTAATAATGACCAAGCACAAGGGCACAGACTTCAGAACACAACCACTGGTACTGACTTTGATCCAGCCCTCTCAAATGGGTGCCGTTGCATATAGTGTAAGCTCAGTCACTCATACTGAGAGACATTTGGGTTTTAGTCCTATGTATACAAAATATAACTCCTCAGGGTGTCTTCATATTGTAAAGGTTAAAAGCTTGTGGGGGTCTAGTAATACATAGAGGTGGGGTTTGGTCCAGGATGAAAACTGCTGAGGCATAAGGGCTGAAAAATTTGCCAAGGTATCTGCCGTGGTTGTGCAGCACTAGGAGTCTGGCAGTATTGGAAGGTATGGATTGTGTCAGGATTTTTGTTCTTAAGAAAACAACTGCTTTTGGACCTTTAAAAAAAAAACCCAAACAAACAAAACCAAACACACAAAAAAAAACCCCAACCCAACAAAAAGTAGCTGAGGCAGTCATGTCTAGTTTTGGTGAACAAGTTCTGAAATATTATGTGCTATGTTTCGGATGTACTGGAACTGGATTGGGTATCATGCATCATTTAGGCTTGTTAAGGAAAATACGTAGTATTTTGTCTGTTGACCATTGCTTTCCTTTTGTTTCCTTCCTTTCCTGAATTGTTGGGAACAGGAGCTATTCATGACAGTTCTGGGTGGAGGATGCAGTGACCATGAATGAAGTTAGAGCTGCAGGACTGGGTTTTAGACTGGAAAGAGGAAGGGAAGAGGAGATGAGAACATTATATGAAATGCTCTTATGCCTTTTCTTTGTTTTTCAGTGGACGAATATATTGCCATTGCTAAAGAGAAGCATGGATACAATATGGAGCAGGTAACAACCCTTTGAATACTTACTTTATTTTAAAATCTTTTTCAGCAGGTATTAAAACATGGCTTAAAGTGACTGCCTAGAACTGCTTCTTCCCTTCTGTACCGACTGTGTTTTCTCCTCTCCTGCTTCTCCCAAAACTGACTGTTCCTAACAGTAACATGTGCTCTGGGGATATGGAGTTCACCCCAGTTCTGCATAAAGACTCAGAAGAAATAAAACAAAACCATTGTAATTTCTGATGGAATTTGGCCATGAGTATTATGCTTCCTATGGTGACTACCTCTTGAACACTTTCAGAACCCCTAAACAACATTAAAAGGACTGGCTTGTCTTTGGACTGCTGCCTGATTGCACTGCAGTTTCCAGTTGACTGCTCCATCTCTGCTTCATGGATGTCTTGGCAGTTACTAATGAGCTATTGAACCATCACATGCTTTTCTGAGGCAAACCAATAGCCACGGTTATTTAACTTAAAAACGTGCTGCAAATCATTTTGCATTTCATAGATGAGCCCCTCAGATGTCAGTGCAGTAGCAGTGGATGACTTCACATCATCTAGGATTGTGTACTAATCTTCCCTGTGTTAACTAACGTTGATTTCAATGCTCATCTGGGGAGATGAGTAGACCTGCACCTGGGAAGCTTTTCTGAATTCTGTGGAGTTTCCTTATGCACTAATACTTGCCCGGAAAGGGAAGGCGGGGAATCTCATGACTTACTGTATTGGCAAATTTCGTACTGTGTCTACAAAGGGATTCTATGAAAACTTGAAAGTTTATGAGATTGTTCAGGCAAAGGCCATGAGCGTAGAAACCAATGATTTGGATGGGTAAGTGTTTCTATTTAAATGACTCTGCTGTCATCTTTGAGTCAGACTTTCAGTGGTTGATACTCATGCTCAAAAAGACTTTTTTGCGGAACAAGAACATTGAAGTTGAGATAGCCAGCAAAATTTCCAGCAAACCCAGGAATGATCAGACTTGATAATTATAGTTTCTAAGAGCAGAAAACAGCAATAAAAGGAACACAAAGGCATCAAAAGGCTGTGAACTTAAATGAAAATGAGGATGGTAGCTTACTTCAGTTGAGATGGGCATATCCTAGTATTGGATATTGTGGGTAATACTTGCCAACAGAGATAGTCTCAGGGTAATAAAAACAGGTTTCATTATTTTAGTGGATAAGTGTTGTTTGGAGAGTATAGACTGATTGGGAAGACTGATCAAAATGAAGCTTGTGATTTTTAAAAAAAACAAACCACTGAATTCTTGTATTTTGAAAAACTTAAATTTGGCTAACAGAGATTTGTATTCATTTTTAAAGTTGGAAATACTTCAAGGAATGAGTAGGAGGTCTGTATTTCTCCCCACTTTTCTCCCCTCCTTTGTGTACAGAAGTAGAAGTTACGGGACTCGCCACACCAGGATGGAAAGAAGCTGAGCAACTTGTAAAAATGTCCCTCCTTCTAAAAATTTTCTCATTCCTTTGCTAGCACTCTTGCATAGTACTCTGAACTGAAATGTTTCCCAGGTCCTTTGGGATTTCCTAGACAGCTATGCTAGGCACTTCCAGGAAATAACTGGAGAGAATCTATCTTGTATCGCTCTGGGAGGCACGTATTCATTTTGTATTATAGGGACAAGCGTCAAGGTGTTCAAATCAGGGTGATTTGTTGTGTCACCAAGGGACACTCCCTCTTCAGCAGGTATCGTCAGAGTTGTTATTGGCTGGGTAACTGTGGACAAGATGATATGGACTCCCTGGAAGCCAGTCAGAGCTCAATTTAGCATTTGGCCACTGTCTCTGGGCTTTGCTGGCCAAGGCAGCCCTTTCCTGTGCATGCATCCTCCCAACAGCTGGTCTCTTTGGACCTCTGTGCAGGTGGCTTGGCTGACAGTCATTGCACAGAAATTCCCGTTCTTCCATCTGTGCCCCCTGCCCAGAACCTACCTTTGCAGACTAAGAGGTGCCAGTTTGTTGAAGGGAGTGGTGAGCTGCCTGGCAGGGCGGCTGAGGACTGTGCTGGCACTCCGCTGCCCAGCAGCTTTTCTGTCCAGCTGGCTGCATCTGTGCCACGCGCGCCTCTCATCTCTGTCCTGTTTCTCCCCTCGCCTGTGGCCGAGTGCCCCGTCGTTGGCGCTGCTGCTGTCGGATGATGGCTGGAGGCTCAGGGCTGTGCTGGTGGGAGTCCCTGCAGCGTTGCCAGCTCAAGGGCAGGCAAAGGGCAGGCTATGGCAGGCGTGTGAGCTTTGGCAGGGCAAGCCTACCTCGGCTGGTGTTGCAAACGGCTGTAGGTGGTTGTGCTGAGCTGTAGCAGGCACAGGCTTTTGGGAGCACTATAGCAAGTCTGGCTGTGAGCTGTGCTCTCCTGACAGCCTGTGTCAGACACCCTGGGACAAAGGAGGCTGGAAAAGCTGTGTACCCACCTGTGTGTGAGTACAGAGCTCTCCTAGGACAGCACAGGGTGAAAAAGGAATATTGCTTTCCTGTTAAACAAACCTATAAGGAAAACCTTGTTTACCTTTTACTTTGTGTAAGCAGTTGTCCCCTAGCCCTCACTAGCACCTTAGGGGTATTTAACACTACTCTGCCCTGCCAAAATGTCTCCCTCCTTGTTTTTCCCCTTTGGTACAGCTTCTATCTGAAGCTGAAAGGGATGGCAGGGGAGAGAAAGCTCAGTCCTTCATGACTGCAAAGTAGTTTCTTTGGTCCCATACTTTCCAGAGTGGATGGAGATATGTGGCTGTTTGGCTCCTGTGACATCTCAAGTGACTGTGCTGCAACGAAGACTACTTCTTGTTCTGCATGGTGGCAAAAGGAAGGAGAGGATGCCTGGGCAGCCCTGAGAGGGCAGTAGGGTCAGGATGAGATCTTGGATAACACTAATATTTATATGCATACTCTCTGCAGAATCTCACAGGAGCAAGATCCCATAAAGGAACTGCTTTTTGCATAGCAAAGCATAATGGGGAAACCCCGAATTTGGAGGGATTTTGTAGCTCTGAGCAGCCAGGGCGAAACTACTAGATGAGGGTAACTGTGGCTGTGAAACCCAAGCTGAGTTTGCATATGACAAGCAGGTTACTCTGATGTTTTACTCAGCATGTTAGGGATTGTTTTCACTTTACAGCCGTTGTGAAAGGCTGGTTTCTAGCTCTGCAGAGTCAGGCCTTCCCAAAATGACTTGTGGTGGTCGCTGGTATGCCAGATGTAGTGATGTGTCATAATGCACAGGGACTGCTCACCCCGGGGAGAGGGGTGGCTGTGGGCGAGCATCTCGGAGATGGCAGGAGGGGGGACGGTTTGCAGGTGGTGAAGCACAGAGCATGCGCTTTGTCTTTGGAACTAAGAACCAGAGACTGCAACAGTGAAAGGAGATGTCTCTTGAGGGAACAAATGAACAACGCCCCCAAATGAGTGAAATTTGTTTGTCCTTCGAGCCAGGGACCACTTAGCAGCAAGTCAAGATTTTGCATTCTCTCTGCTTTTCCTTCTTCCAGTTCTTCCCTCATCCTCTCCCTCTTTTCCCCCTCCTGCTCAGAAGGAGCCCCCTAAACAACTATAAAAACTCCCCGCCAACTAAACCATCTTCCTAATTGCACAGGAAATGAAGGGAGTTTAGCACTGGCAAGAAGCTTCCTTTAGTGCAGCCTGGTTTTTAGGTAGTCTTCCCAAGCCTTTGCTTAGCTTTCCTATGCATACCATGATCAGTAATGTTGGAGTCATTTCTTCAATTTTCTTCTCCCTTCTTGCTGTTGCTACCTTCTTTTTTATATTACCACCTGTGTGTGGTTTGGATAAACTTCAAGTTAGTCTTCACAGCTAGCAGGGTGGAGGTCAGATTTGAGGTTTCTTGCACATGGAAAAGTGTCTGATGTAGCTGAGAATTAAAATTACATCTAAAGTATTGCCTGAGAAAAATGCTGTAGCTCTCCCTTTGCATGCATATAGTGGTGTTTCTTGTGATTACAATTGTCCTGTTTGTGTCTTTGTTATTTCTAGGCCCTTGGGATGCTGTTTTGGCACAAGCACAACATCGAGAAGTCTTTGGCAGATCTGCCAAACTTTACTCCATTCCCAGATGAGTGGACAGTGGAAGACAAGGTCTTGTTTGAACAGGCCTTCAGTTTCCATGGGAAGACCTTTCACAGGATCCAGCAGATGGTAAGTGGTGTCACAGGGATGGAAAAGCAGATAAGGCAGTTGGACCATCGTCTTCAGTGCTGAGTGTGCTGAACTCCTGTCTAATGCTCTTGGGAGAGAACAGGCCAAAGGGGATGTTAGAGAAAAAATAATAGCATGAATAGAAACAACAGTTTCCAGAGTCTCTGTAGAAGTGTTTTTCCTGAAGTGCTCTACTGGTTCAGGATAAACTTTGTGCAATTTTTTTGGTTGGAAATTACAGTTTTCAGTTCCCTGCGTGCTATGGTAGTGTTTTTGTCTCAGCTGGAGTTCAGGCATGGTCTATACACATGTGCCCACCCACACACAGAGTAAAGATCACCTCTGTGCAAAGCTGATTTCCTTTCTTACAGCCTGCTTTTTAGGAATTCATTTTATTTGACTATGAAGTCTGTGCTTAATGTGATTTGGGACTGTCAGTGAATGCTGTGGTGGAGGTTTATACATCATTGCAAGCATTCAGTCCTTTGCTTCTGCTTGGTAGTGATATTTTTTTAAACTGTGATTGAAGACTTCAAGGGCAGTTTTCTGCCTGAAAGGGAACTGCTGGGGTGTGTGCAATTTTCTTTTGAAAGAAGGAGAGGATGGGATGTAAAAACTTTTTATTAATTATATCCTGAGAGTTTCTTCAAGTAGTTCATCACCTGGGTGGGAACCAGACTTTGTTTTTGTTCTTGCTCTCCTTCAGTAAAGTGCCTCTTTTGGTTACATTGGTTGTGACTCTTTGAAGTCAGCCTAGGCTTTGCAGTCTGTTCAGCCTCTTTAAAGCACATGCGAAGGTCTATGCTGCTGAAAAGCAAAAGGCGACTCGCCTCCCAAGTATGAAGGGAAACTGCCAGGTCCCATTTCAAAAGGATGACAGGAAGAGGCTCATTCTCCTCGTGTCCTCCTTGAATGTTCCTTCACTGGCGTTCATTTCCAAATGTTCTTGGAGTCCTAGGGTCTCCCACTCCCTTGGGTCAGATGACAGGGCTTGCACATACTATGGACAGCCGATATAGACAGTCTGGAGAGTTGTGGACTCCTGAAGGGTGAAGCTGTTTTTTTCTTCTTTATTCCTCTGTTCTTACATAGGAGGCAAGAAAAGGAGAGGGGAATGTCCTGGGGGAAAAGAAGAACATAAAACCTGTCCTGTTGCTTGGTTAAATGCCAAAGCAAGAAATTCTTAATTTGGTTTATGTGCAGAAGCATGACTCTGTCCCCGAGTAAAGTGCATTCCAATACAGGGATGCCAAGCTCATGCACTGTTCCCTAGGTAATGATATTTTTTTACTGTTGCTCCCAGAAAAGCCATCCTACATGAAAGGAATTAAATGGCATGAAGCTTTGTGTTTAGCAGGGGACAGGAATCAATGGCTCGGGAGCACGTTAGCTGTTAGTTTATATATCCTGTCCCATTAGCACCAGTACAGCTTGGAACTGAGGGGAAAAAAATCATCGAAGCCAGAGAATGAAAAGTGAGTTTTTATTTACCGGAGCTGGTTCTGACATTTTGGCACTCTTGGCATGTGTTTGTAGCCAGGTGGATGTTTGTCACAAACAGCCTTGTTCCCGAGTTTGTTCTGTGGAAGTGTTTAATTCCAGTGTCCCAGCCTGCTGCATGGCTATTGGCAGCACAACATGGACATAACACCTCTGCTTTGCCAGTGCAGACGGATTTATGCCTGTGTGCCGCTGTGGGCCAGGGTGGTAGTTCTGGTGCGATCCATTATTAGGACCTGAAGTCAACCTGCAGTCTGAGAACCAGGCTTATCTCAAGTGAAGATTTAAACTGCAGTATCTGAATAAGAGAGATCTGGCTCATGCTCACAGTTTTGTTTTCCTCCTCACCTGTCCTGCCCTCAAAGCTGAATCAGACACTTATCTAAAACATGTTTTATTCAGCAAGAAAGGCTGGTCTTTTACCTTGTAGAAGTCCTATGTAAGAACATCCATGCAGAGTACCTCAGAAGCAGAGAATTAGTGCTAATGTAGTTTTATGCTTTTTGGAGACAGTCTTTTCATTCATAGCTATAGAGCAATGACATTAGTGTAAGAGGACAGTAAAACCCTAACTTGGAGGCTCATGTTTTCCTGTATCCTCAGTTCACCATACAGTAATGTTTCACCTTTTGAAAACATCTTTTGTTGAGACCTTTGAATAGACTTCATCATGTGAATGGTGTGAATAAGCCTTTTTAGCCAAACATCAAAGATAGACTTGGGATGTAGCCTGCAGTTCAGCAGTTCCTGCAGCTGCTTACACATGCCTGTGTTGGCTTTTAAAACTGTTATCTCAGTTTCAAGGCCCCATTTTGGATTTGCTCTTGCTATGTTCTTCTCTTCTGAAGGGAACCAGCTACCTGGCTGGTGAGTGGAGGCTTGCTGAGATGCTCTTTAGAGATTTTGATGTCCTAAATAGTAGGCACTAACCTGAAACACTCCCCCATAAATCGTTTTTGGAAAGGCTGCGGAACTGCCTTGCTTGAGCCTTTGAGAGAGTCCAACATAGAGAGATCAGTTATTCCTTGACAAAAACAGACCAATTGTATGTGAACTCCTGGGGATACTTTACATATAAACATATAAAAGGATACATGTTTAATTTACAGCTTCCTGACAAATCAATAGCCAGCCTGGTGAAATTTTACTACTCCTGGAAGAAGACAAGGACTAAAACTAGCGTGATGGACCGTCATGCTCGTAAACAAAAAAGGGAACGTGAGGAAAGGTAGGTTTGCAAGCAGAAAGGCTGTGTATTGACGCACACTGATTTCTTTAGAGTATCTCAGAGATTCCTGTTAGCTTGTAAGAAACTAGATGTAGGATTTTCCCCAAAATGTTTCCTGGTACCACACCTTCTTTCCCCACCCCTCTTCCCTGCTGTGCATGTTTTGCTTTGCTTAAAGCCAAAAGGAATCTGTCGGCAATTAGGTGAGCTCCCTTTTTCAACACTGTGCAATTCCTGATTGCCCTCAAGTGCAGTGGTCTCTATCCCATCACTCTAGAAGCTTTTTCTCTGATACTGCTTGAGGGTGGAGAAAATGAAATTAAAACTGTTTACAAGCTGATTGGCACTGTTGTCGCCAGAGCCAGAAAAGCTGATAAGCAGGACAGTAAAAGGAAGTTATGAAAGATCTAGAAAGCTGCCTTTATTTCTTCCATGTGATGCTCAGTGAAGTGAGAACGTGGACCTGGTGGGGAACAGGTTCTGGTGCAGCACCCCTCAGCCTGTGCGATGCACACACAGACCCTTCCCCTGCTTTTTACATTGAAAACTTGTTATCAGTATAAGGCTGTCAGGCCGAGCTGTATTCCCTGGGAAAGATGAAATTAAGGCTGTGTTTATGAGTGCCTGAGAAGAGGGCAGCACAGGGGAACTTCAGATGAGTTCTCTGGCAGAGATGTCCCAAGGAGTGCTGGGTGCATTAGGATTTTGGTGAGGGTAGTGGTGTTTGGGAGGTCACCAGCCACTGAGCTTTAGCAGATGAGCTTGACTCCTGCTTGTGTAGCTTTATTTGCAAGTTCACCCTCCTGGATATCCATGCAGGCCCTTGAAGGTAGGTCAGCCAGTGGCCTTGTGTGTATTGCCAGAAGTATCTGTACAGTTAGAATTGCCACTTGGTGTCTTTGCCTAGTTCTAGAGCTGACAGAGCCTCAGAAATGCAGTGGCCTCAGGTGTGTGTGTGGGAGAAAAACCCCTCTGAACAGCAGCAGCTCCATCTGCTTGACGCAAGTGCCTTCCCAACCAGCTCTAAAATGCAGTTAATGTCTTTGCAGACCAAACTTGAGGTGTGCCTGGCTTTGGAAGACTCCTAACGTAATTGGGTGAAATTCTGCAAAAGCTTTTCCTTCAAAGGAGCTTCTGCTCTAGCACTTCCCAGGGAGCTGTTTGCTGGCTCCAGTGCGTATGAGCAAGCCCTGTTTGGGAAGGGGAAGAAACGTGTTTCCAGGGTTGAGCTGTACTACGCCAATGACTCACTCAACCTCTCCCATCTCTCTATTAGGTCAACAATACTTGCTTAACAGGCAGGGCCAGGGAGAATACTACCAGCCAACTTGTCCAATACTTGGTTGGCTTTCTCTGACCTGAGTCTCTTTTTCCATTCTGTTCTTTTCCCTTCTCTGCAAAGGCTGTCTTGATTTTTCTTCTCCCCATCCTGCTTTTTTTTTATTATTATTTTCTACCTTTTTATGAGGTGGGGGGAAAATCTCTTATAAGAAATATGTGTTTGTCTCATGCTATGTAGTTTAGTATCCTTTAATACTACCTCTCTATTTTTGTTCTGTGCTCATAAATGAAATTACTGCAATTTGGAAATACACCTCTCTGGTACCTGTGCCTGTTTGCTGGGAAAAGCAGCACCTCAGACCATCTGGTGACTGAGTAAAAACTGTAAGGGCTGCCATGTGCTGTAATTTTGTAACCTTTGAGGAAGGTAGCTGGATTGGAAATGTGTAATTTGGTTTACATCTGCAGCAAGCTAAGCACCAGGCCATCAGCTTGATGTTTGATTTTTTTTTCCTTCTTACCCTCCATTATGTAAAACAGTCAGACCCCTACACCCCCAAGGGATTTGTCAGTGCAGCCATGCAGGGTGTGGAAGCAAAGCTGGGTTAGTTTGGGGTGCCTGGATTTTGAGGCTGTACTGTGACATTGGGTGTTGGCAAAACTTCAAAAATGTTCTTCAGTTAATAGTGATCAATGTCTAAAACTGCAGAAATGAGTGGGTGGGTTTTGATCTAGCTCATGTTTAAGGAACTTGCTGGAACAGAAGAGCAAACTATGAGCACAGCAAAGCCCTTGGGGGTTTGGCCTTTACAGAAATGCTGAAATCTGAACCTAGGTGAGAACACAAAGAAGCTCTTTCGGAGATGGGGTTAAGAGAAGAGGCAGTCTGAGGTATCTCAGTCAAATACTGCTGTATCTCTTCTGTGGCTAGGCAGGGAAATTCCCCAACCCCTCAGATTGTCACTAAAATAGCTCCCAGTGCATTTGGGACCAGGTTTTCAGTAGCTGTTCTTAAGTTGTATGCGAGGGGCTTTCTGTATGCAGCTGGGAGGGCGTGCTTGTGAGTTATTCCCTGGAATCGTGATCACCTAAACTAAATATCTTCTGAATGAGGTGGTGAACCAGGCAGCTTGGGAGAGCAGGAATTTTTTTTTTGCTTGCACAAGTTGGCTATTCTTATGGAGATGGAGGCCAGCTCAAGCCAGCCGGCAGTCCGTGCCTCCTTAGGCTATGTCTGCACAGGACGTCACTGCAGCAGGGAGACAGCTGCGAGTGAGCGCGGGTGCCGCAGCCATGCTCACTAGCACCTGCTGTACCCTGCTCCTCTGTGAACACACCCCAACTGGCTCCAGCACCGTAGCACAGCTTCTGCTGGGGTTTCTTTGCACAGCCCTGCCTTGCACTGGTGCTGTGACATACCTGCACCAGCCAGAGTTCCTCATCCCAGGCTGTGAAATTTGACGTGACAAAACAGGTTTATTTTTTGATTTTTTTTTTTTAAAAAAACCACTTTGATTAGGTCAGCTTATTTCTTCTGTTTCTGGGCATCATCCCAAATGGTGCGATTAACTTTAGTTGTGTACAGTACAAAAATTCTAAATGGTGAAAATATATTTGATTTAATGTCTGATTAAAATTCCAATGAAGCCAAACTGGCCAGGTGTGCCAAGGTCACTTTCAATATGGCCCCAATTTCATGCCTATTATTACTCTGTAACTGATAATGTCTTTTTCTTTTCCAGGGGAGAATGAAATGTGAGACTGTCACTGGGGGGGGGAACCCAAACATTTTTTAGACTACTTCTTGAGGGATTTCGTCTTGTGCATGACTATTTTGCAAATGTTAAGGAGTTATATGAAATCTGTGTTTTAGCTACTTACTGTAATTTTGTCTTTGAAGTTAAAATGCTCGGTGTCCTGTGTTCTTTAAAAGATAACTTGTGTAATCAATTTCATGTAACTTGCCTTCATCTGAGCAGACTGATTTTGCTTAAGTACACTACTTAGTCCTCCTTTACAAAACATGGTATCTAGTATCTTTACAATTACGAATTTCTTGCCTTAAAACAAATAAAAAAACCAAAACAAAAAACCCACCCCAACCCCCTAAAAAACCACTCTGGGAATAAAACTAAGGAAAGCTGTTGGACTTGCTATTGCATCTATGCATTTCTTCTGGCATGCTATTTACAGAAAAGGAGAGGCTCACAAACTAATGCAGTACTGTTTGCTTTTGTCTTCCAGTGAGGATGAAATGGAGGAAGCAAATGGAAATAACCCTATTGATATTGAAGTTGAACAAAACAAGGAGAGCAAAAAGGAGGTATAATTCTTTTCTTACTACAGTACAAATGAAAGTGTTTACTTGCTAGCTACTTCATGTAGAAGCTGACAGTATCTAATTTTCTTTATTTGTGCTTTGTATAGTTGTCATACAAGAAAAGAAGAATTGTCTTCAGAATTATTCTTAGATCAAGAGAAGTATAGACAAATAAGTTATTATGGATGGAGCTGCAAAAATTTAAGACTTTACCATCCTATGATAACGTACTATGTGAATGTTCCTCGTCTCTTTGATTCTCTCTTTGGCTGTGTTAGCTTGAACCACCTTCAGCAATGGTTTAAATCAACCTAGCTGTGTGGAGAAGCACTTACGTCCCCACTGAGATGGCTCGGTGGAGGGGAAATAAATCCTTTAATCTGTTCTAGGTAGACTAGCAAGAGTGTGTTCAGCTGCACCTTAGACTCTAAGGTAAATTCCTGATGTACTGAAATCCTCAGCAATAGTGCTGAGGATTTTGATGGCACCAGGACTGCAACTACAGTGGTGAACAGTAAAGGAGAAAAAAGCTTTTGTATGGCCAGTTCATTTTGTCTAGCAGAGGGGCCTTAACCTGTTATGTGCAGAATATTTTTGTCTAATTAAAATTTAATATTTGCATCTCACTTCAAATACTTCATTTTAAGTGGGCATAGAACTTTATTTTTGTGTATAACCTGCTGGTTGTCTGTTACTAAATGAAAAAAGCCTCGCTGTTCAGCAGCAGCGTGGGTTGTATGTGTGAGTGAGTGCTACAGGAAGATGTTTACCCTAAGGCCTTCTCTCCTTGAAGTAGCTCCCTTTCCTGATTTCCGTAGCCTGATTTCTATCCCACAGTCACTATCTTTCAATTTTTTTTAATTATTTTTTAAAAGGATATATGTAGGGAGAAAAAAAAAGGAAATATTTCAAAACATGATTGTACACAGGCAAAACCAAGATCCTAGAGCAGCTGTTTGGTCTGTCACTGTCAGTGAGATTAATTCCTCTAAAATAATTTTGAATGGGAATAACTGAAAAATCACAGCATTCTAGTCTGTTCTTTGCCCATGCCAGAGTTCTCTCTCGACTTCCCAGGAATATCTAGCTATTGCTTCTACCAAAGGAAACGGCGTCCCTGATGACTTCCTAGGAGCAGAGTAGATGTGAAGCCGCTCATATTCACCCTTACAAGAAGCTGAGTTCTCAAAAGCCTCAGCAACACCCAAACTGGAAGGGTTCTCACTTGGCTAAGTTGCAACTGCATACTGCAGCTCGCCACTGTGTTTTGTACGTAATTAATACTATCATCTCATTTCCCATTATTTTAATAAATTTTCAAGTTTAGATTTCTCTGTAAGCTCTTTGAAAGCTTGCCATCTGTAAGAGAGCTCCCTTCAGTCCCCTTTGTTATTGCTTCCTTCCCTACCAATGCTGGCATGCTCTGAACTTGCTGCAGAAGAGGGAAAGGTAGTTCTTCGCCAACTTGGCTGCCTCTATCGTAAGGCCAAACCAGATCAAGATGGCTGATAGCTACCATCAAGGCATTTTTATAGAAAGTCTTGTATGGTTGGAGGCTGTCTGCCTTCCCTGTCACACCAGTACAGGCCATGGCACTCACCGATCTGAGAGAACGCCAGAACTCACAGAGCGTGTGCAGTCGGCTGTGTATGCAATGGTGGGCAGCCTTGTGGGGCCTTTCCTGGACAGGAATTGTACTGGTGGGTAAAATGAAGCTGACAACTTGCATAGCCTGTTCAGAGTTAATTTGGCTTGATTTTGCAGTACCTGAACCTGGGACTGATTGAAAATGCCTTGAGAGGGAGAGCAGGTATCCAGGAGGGTGGATATGCTCTTTCTTGAGCATCATGTTTCTTTTAATGACGTTGCCAGATGTGCAGGGGTGGTGATGTACCACTAGTACAGGACTCTTACCGTAAAGAACCTCCCTGTCCCAACCCTGCAGCGGTGGTTTTTCCAACTCTGAGACATGTCGGTTACTGTATGACTTGCAAAGTAATATTGGGATTTCTCAGAGTATCTGAAATCTCTCATCTGTTTCCTCTTTTGGGGACCATTGGAGGGGGAATCTTCCCTTTTTTTTCTTTTTTTTGTACTTTCAGTGTTAGTACAACTGTCCAGGTTTCCTCAGATGGTGACTCCATAATACTGAGGTCATGAACTAAAGCTGCTTTCTCCACATCTTCCCTGTTCCTGGAAATGCCTCCTATTTCATCCTCCGCTTTTATGTGGCTTGAGATAGCTTGGTCTCTTCTTTGTACACAGTGAAATCTGAGGAAGGGAACCTTGTTTGTATTAGTGGATTTGTAAGACTGAAGTGTGCTGGGTAGCAGTGGCAATATTTAAATAAACAGAGGAGCACTGCTAAATCCTTCCATTTTAATTCTCTCTCGTTTTCATTCATTGATTTAATTCTACAGAGTTGTGTGTGGCCAGGAAAACATGAGTTTCCAAGATAGGTTAGATGTTCAAATTTTCAGAGCCTGCACAATATCACTGGGGCCTAGAGGCATTTGGAGCTGTCAAAAACTGTCCTGCTGGAGCTCTGGCTTCTTGTCCACAACACAAAAGAGCTTCAGATTCTTTGAACTGTGTAAAACAATAATTTGAAACTACTTTAATTTTTCCTTGACGTTCAGTCTTCTGGGATATTTGCACTTCAGGCATTGCGTGTTGGTCGATCTACAGCCTGAATCTGTTGTGAGGCATTACTGCATGATCCTGTGAAATTCTGTATGTAGATGAAATATGAATAAATCTGAAATATCTATCCATGTTGAATAATTTACCTGGCTCAGTTATCAAAGTGCTTGCTTCTGAAGCGGAGCGCAGAGCTTACCTCACTTTTATTCATAGCTAAACCAGTCTGGTTTCTCCTGCTTGCCACTCCCTTCTGCAAAAAGAAATAGGGTATCCATCCTGCAACAGCAATATTATCTTTTGCTCCTGGGCTTGCCTTAGGCATCATCTCTCATGGAGTCCTTTGCACTAAAGGGAGGGAAGAAAAAAATTAAGAACAGGCAATTGTCCACATTGCTGCTCCTATGTGGTTCTGGCTGTTGAGGCCATGAAGAGGGTGCAAGCTTTTATCTGCCAGCAGCTGTGCTGGGGTCCTCCAGTATTCCGGAGGCAGAGCCTCATGCTTATGTGGGGCTTTGTACTCAACCTCATGTGGGTTTGAATGCAAGCATTGAATGCAAGCATTGCTCACTAATGAGCAAATGCTTCAAACTGTGTAGAAACTACATGTAGCTGTAAATTTGGAGGGAAACAATAACACGAAGTGAAGCCAGTGTGTTTAAAGCTGGCAATGGTTAAGTAGAGGATTTCAGATGCGTGGCCTCCCCTCTCTGCTTTTTCTCTCCCTGCCACCCTTCTGTTCTGTGTTCTTGGCCAGGCTCCAGCCACTGGGTAATAAATTTTGAGTGTGAGTTGCTTGTTGAAAATGACTTCTGGAAGAAATGGTTTTAGTATTAGAGAACCAGATGTGCTCTTGAAGGATCTGTAGTATCGTGTCCTAGCTAATCTGCCTGTTAGAGGTGTGTGCCTAATTCTTTGTTTGAGACAAAGTGTAAAAAATAATCAGTGGTGTGTCTGAAATATTCCTTTTTCCAAAAAAGACTTAAATTTTATTTGTGGGCAAAACTGTGTCAGTTGATATATCAGTGCTATACAAGAAAACTTGGCTTCCAAGAAACTGTGTAACTATCTAAGAATTACTTTGTAGTCATCTCGCTCCTTTATCCTTAGCCTTTAAATAAATTTGGTTTATTCTTTCTCCTGTCTGACATGTAGAAATCCAAGTCTCTGTAAAGTCTTCTAGTTGTGTTCTTCCCGTCTCCAAACTCCACTTTGTTTCCTTCTGGTATTCAGTTAAACTAGTGTGTTCAGGCCTAGTGATGAAAGCAAGAGGAGAGGTTTTGGAGTGTTTGACAATAACCAGAATATTTAACTGCTGGAAAATTGGGCATCTGTCTCCCAAAAGGAGAATGGTCAGAGAAGACAACCAGTGTCTCTGTAAACATTGAAAGCTGCCTAGAAGAGAGAATTGTGTAAGACTCTGTATGACATACTGCTTAAAGCAAAAAATGCCTTCCTGTCTGCAAGCTACTTTTTCATTTGCCAACCTTTGACTATGGCTAAAAGTCACAGAATCATAGAACGGTTTGAGTTGGAAGGGACCTTTAAAGATCATCTAGTTTTGTAAAATGACTGCTGTTTGCTAGGTGCCGCCCGCGGAAACCGTTCCTCAGGTGAAGAAGGAAAAGCACAGTACGCAGGCCAAGAACAGAGCGAAGAGGAAACCTCCCAAAGGAATGTTCCTTTCCCAAGAAGATGTGGAGGCCGTTTCTGCCAACGCGACAGCTGCTACCACTGTACTCAGACAACTGGACATGGAATTAGTCTCAATCAAACGACAGGTACGGATGGGATAGTTAAAGAATAACTGCTAATTTTGGTGGTAGTACCTGTCACAGTCTGCAAAGTTCTGAGGAGTTTGTAGCTTGACAGTGATGGTGCACATCATTATGTGGCTTAATTGCCAAGCTGCTAGCCTTGTGCTATAGACTAATGCAGCCCTGTGTCTTACATCTCTTATGTTTTAGTTCTATGCGCAAGCCTACCTTACCCCTAAAGTGAAGCAAGGAAAAGTCCATAGCACTGACTTGAAGGAACATTTGTTGCGCTCAGTGTTTCTTGCAGTACGGAGTTCTTTGTTTTAACTAGAACTTCGCTTGGATGACGCTGATTTCAGCAGTATCTGATTTCCATCTGCAGCAGTCAGTTTCCTTTGCCTTTTCATATGGTACTTTTGGAACAGGCAGATATGTTTGTTTGTCTGTCTTAGACAGGCATCATACAAACTTTCCTGTGTACCTTTTGCTTCCCTGATGGATCTGCCTTTTAAACAAACATTTTTGAATATCTGTTAGTAAAGACAGCTTTACTATGTGAGTCTGTTTCCTAGACCTCAACATTTTCACTTTTTTTAAAGCAGAGCTCTTTATTAAACTTAATAGAATTGGTATTTTGGCCTGAAGCCTTTTTCTTGGTACTCCGGGATAAGTGGAGCTCTCTAGCAGTCTTTGATTCATTACTTGCTGTGAACAGGGCCTTTCTTCTTATGCTGGGCTTTATGCAAACCTGGAAGTTGGGGCAGTTCTTGCTCCGAGTAACTTGCAGACAGGATAGAATAAATTAAATGGGAACTCCTGATGTGCTAGCTGCTCCTGCATTCCTTTATTCCAATATAACAAACTTTCTTTTTGGAAAAGGGAGGTTGTGAGAAAAACTGGAATGCTGAGCTTGTGGGGTTCCTGCTGGGGCTGCTGGAAAAAGGCTTGTCCAAAGATTTTTTTTTTAATCCTTGTTAAAGGGATGAAACTTTCTTTTCAGATTCAGAATATCAAGCAGACAAACAGCGCGCTCAAAGAAAAACTTGAAGGTGGTATAGAACAATACAGACTTCCAGAGGTAGGATCGTTTTTTCTGACCGTTGTTTATTGTGGAGATAAATGCTAATCTGTGTTTACATACCAGGGCTATTCGTATTGCCAGTAAATTAGGACCAATGTCCTCTTAGTTGTCAGTGTGAATCAAGACCATTACTATATTCACTGTTGTGTAATGGAAATGGGAGATGAGAAGAAAGTAGGAGCAGTGTTTAACATGTGAAAGTGATTTCTAACAGAAGTACAGGTATCCCAGATATACTATGTTTTGCCAGTGTTGTATCCATATGTCCTTGTGAGAGACGTAGTTGCCTTGCTGTAAATACTGAGAAGGGTAGGAGAGGATGTTAATGGCCCATCTTTCTCTTGGCGTTTACTACTTTTGCTGTTTTTCTTCCAACTCTGGTACCTCATGCTGGAAATAATTTGACCAAGATTACAGAGGGTGTCTGTGATAAAAACAATTAGGTGCTTTGGAAGAGTGTGGCGCTTGGTTAACTGCTCAGACCATTCCTTATCTTTTTGTATTACCATGACTTGTCACAGTTAACTAAATGAATGCCATGCACAGTTCTTTGAAAACATTGTTGCTGCTAAAAGGAATGATACAGTTTGACTAACAGTTAATTCCTTGTGTTTTTTGTGAGGTTTTCATGAGCTTAGATACAAGTGAAAGTTGTTGCTTATGTAAATGAAGTTACCTAATTTTTTTTAATGTTTAGGTCGTTCAGAAATTTAATGCACGTTGGACCACAGATGAGCAGCTTCTTGCTGTGCAAGGTATGGCACTACAAGTCTTTGTACTTCAGTTGGTGACAGTCAAAACTGCTGCATTTCAGAGCTGTGTTTCCCTTCAGTGGCTAATGAAGGATTTTGACATTGCTGTGTACTAATGCCCAAAGAACGGAATTAAACAAGGAAACAATATTGCCCCTTCCCCTCCCTGGGCAGTATAAATTGCACCATGAGAATGTTTGCAAATAATCTCTGCTTGTCCAAGCTTTCAGAAAGTGAAACTCTACTGGAGTCGCTGCTATGTTCTTTGCCTGTGTAACTCCTCGAGTAGTACAAGTGGATTTACACAGGTTTTCTAGGTTTGGCTCTGCTTTACTACACCTCTATTTTCTTCTCTTCTCCAGAGCTAGTCTTAATTATGTCCCTTGCCCAGTTTAGACTTTTGTTTTTTTCTGGATTAATCTGAGAATGGCTTCAAGCCTTGACAAAAGTTCAGCTTTGGTTCCTTATGCTGTGGCTTCAGCCTGATTTGTGGTCTTCGTGGAAATAACACATTGCTTTTGTTTTTCTTTTTGTTGCTTTTAGCAATCAGGAAATATGGCCGAGACTTTCAGGCAATCTCTGATGTGATTGGAAACAAATCTGTGGTGCAAGTGAAAAACTTTTTTGTAAATTATCGACGTCGTTTCAACATAGATGAAGTTCTACAGGAGTGGGAGGCAGAGCATGGCAAAGAGGAGACAAATGGAACCAATAGCCAGAAGCCTGTAAAATCCCCTGATAATTCCACTAAAATGTCTGAAGAGGAAGATGAGGTAAATCCAATTTAACAGTCACATAAAATTCCCAGTCTGAGCTCAGTTCAGATAAATGTGTATGTGTATATATATACTCTTTGCAAAAGCAATTTTTGACAATCTTCAATCTGAGCATATTTCACTTCTTCTGGATATACAGATTCCAGTACTGATTTTGGGAATTGGGAATTCCAGACATATATGAAAGTGGAAAGAGAACAGTTAATTTGCAGCCCTCTGACAGTATCTGTATCTCATCAGCACATGGACATTTTAATGCCTCTTGCTGCCGAAACTCCATACATCTTTATCTCACTTGGATGTTTTCCCTGCACTCAGTTCTCCACGCTGTTCTAGGTTTGGCTTTGTGGGACCATACAGTCTTCTGAGGCAAAGCTCACTCTTTCATTTTTGATGATGGAGTAGTTTCACTCGGGGGAAGGGAAGAAAGCTATAAACAAGGCGAGTGTGTGAAACTGTTCACTCTGGAGTTACCTAGAGGCAAAGTTTCCTTGATTTTACAACAGTTTCTGCGAAGACGCAAATTCTAGAAACAGCCTCTCCTTGATGGAGCTTCCTGGAGTTAACACTTCTCCAAAGACGGTGTGTGTTTAAAGTTAACTAAGACACTGTAGAGTGTTTAAAAATGAGAGTTACAAAAATGTAATATTGATACAGTCTTGCAAAAGAAAACCCCCCTAGAGGTTTGCATGTTAAAAATGTCTGATCTGTGACTCCCTTTGGCCTAATCTTATAAGACAGCTTGGCACAAAAGCCGTATCTTCTAAATGCAAGCACAGTCAACAGCGTAAGGTGAATTTTAGTCCCACACAGACTAAAGACTTCTCAGCGTACTGTCTATTTTTGTTGCCCTGGTTATGGTTGGCTCACTTGTATGTTGCTATTCAGACATTCAGAGAGTGGAACTTCATTGCTTCACAAATCCTAATAATGTGTTATTCAAAGATGCTAATATTTGGGGTCTAGATCCAAAGGTATGACAGATGAACAAAACCAAACTCAAAAAACTTGCCTTCCTAGAAGGATGTGAGTGAAATTGTCCCATTCACCGAGAACTAAGAGGTGGAGCAAAGAAGCAATAGTACTAGTACATAGCCACCCATTTGAAAGACAGGTGGCTAATGTCACTGCCTTTTCCTGTGACCAGTAGAGTTGTATCTGTTGCCAGTACAGAGCTTTTCTTCTCTGAGCCCTCTGAGATTCTTCCTGGCTTCAAATGCACCCTTGCTCCTGAACGTTACAGTCAAAGGGGAGTCTCACTTAAGATATGAAGAAAATGCTTGCAGCAGGAACTGTTGTGTGCCGATGTGGCCAAGTGTGTGGATACTGGAGCAATGAGGATCCCAGTCAAGTTAGAGGAGGAGGAGGAGGGAGAGTGAAGGCATAACAGCAAGGTCTGGTGAGATGACTGATGGAGCAGCAGTCATGATCCCCAAACTAGTGATGGAAAGTGCCCAGGCTGGAGCCGAGCAAGCCCTGAGTGGTGGAAAGGGGACCAAAACAATAGGCTGGTGGGAACAGTTGCAAAGCAACTATTAGAAATAGAAAAGGCAGCTGTTGTGAGAGTCGGGTGGTTTGCTGTGCTCTGCAGTACAGTGAGGGATGAGGGAGGGCAGAGCCTGCCTGCAGCAGGCTGACACAGGCAGGAGCCGGGCAGGGTGGCAGTGAGCTGCCAGCCGTGACATAACATGTATGTCATGTATGTATGTACCATACATACCATGTGTGTCTTACACTGGCACCATGTGGCTTGTGGTTCTTGATGAAGCCTGCTCTGGACAGTAGGAACCGATGTGTCACAGCTGGGAGGAGGAAGGTGCTGGCAGCTTGGAGGGGATTTTAACTACCAAGCCTGCAGCTTTTGATAAAAATGCACAAGGATGGGACACAAGGGTGGTGTACAATGGACATCTAATGGCCACCACGCTCTCTGAGCACATCAGATGTTGCCTCTCAGGCTGGCTATAAATGTGGTGCTCCTGCCTTCAGAGGCAACATAAGCACAGTGCTGACTGGGTGCCTGTCTGAGCAGTTCTAGGGGCAGAGTGAAATGTCATTGGGATTATCACATAAGTGATCTACGTGGGCTACGAGGGGAGTTCTTGGTACCTCCTGAGCTGTGCAGTACTGTGTGGCTGGTGCCTGCTCTTGAGAGCACTTGCACAGGCAGCTGGTCAAGTCAGGTGGACTCAGTCAGCAGTAGCCAGGAGAAGACTTTGCTGGCCTAACACTGAAATCTCTCAGGTGCTTTCTTGCCTGGCATGCCTTGTCTGCCTGACTGCCAACCTAGTAAAAGCTTCGTCAGCCCTCTGACTGCTCTGGGCTTTCCCCTTCAGTGTGTTTTCATAGCAAGTGGCCACAGTTCCTTTTTTTGTTTTGTTTTGGTTTTTTTTTGAAGGGGGGAGGTGAGACTGCTGATTCTAAGGCAGACTTGATGCCAGTCTTAATTCTTATATGTTTACACTCCCAACAAATACCAGTGTGGCTCAGAGTAGGGGAAGCTGCTGTGATTCCTCCCATGTGCCAGCATTGTCCGTTTTGTCGCTTTCAGTACCGTGGATCTGGGGTGAAGTTTGGAGATTCGAAAGCCTATGTGTATTCATTTTTAAACTAAACGTCTCCTTTTTCTTCCCCCTCCCCCTTCCCTCCAGGCTACTTCTGTTCTTGATGTCAGATATGCATCTGCTTCGTGAGAAGGTGCTGTAGCCTAGAACAATTTGTGTTGACTACTGTGTTATCCAGGATATCAGGTATTAGCAAACCTCAGACAGCCATCTGCATCATATCTGTGGACAAGCAGCTATTACCAAAAAAAGGCAAACGCTTCCAGTCCTGTGCTACATCTGCCTTAATCTCCCCTCATTCCTCCATACTGCCTCCACTTTCTTTCAAAAGCACCCAGGTAGCTCATCTCTCCATTTCGTCAATGTCCTGCTTAAGCATGGGAATTTCTAGAACCAGTAACACCTGTCTGTAAATTTTGACCAACCTGCAAAACAAGGAGCTCTTTAGCAGCCCCACAGTTAACTCTACACATTAGGAGTTCTTATAATACTTGGTCCGTAGGGTATAAGTACATATTGCTGCATGGCCTTGTGGTCTCCGCTTCCTGTGTATTCTTACGATGACACTATTATTAGCGAGCTTTCTATAAAGGAGAGGCCTGTGCACATGCCAGTGGTGTCAGGTTTGTTCTGAAATGACAGGGCATGTTAACAAGCAATCTTGAATAATGCAAAGTGATAGGAAATGTTATTTCTAAAGTTTGGTCAGTCCAAGGTTGTAGACATAACTCATTACACTTCTGGTTTGTGCAATTCTTTCCACTGTATTTGTGTGTTCTTGCTTCATAGAAAGCTCCCTAATTGAGCATTTTATTCCTGTATATTTTAATGGCTTTTATTTAGTGCAAAAGGGAATACGTAACCTAAAACTGTTTGATACGCTATTTAACCCCTGGCATTCAGCATTTGCATTGTAACTTGTTAAATGAGTGCTACACAACTTTCTTTTTCCTGATCCTCTGCGGGATTAAGTCAAAACAACTTTCTCTGGTGCCTCTCCTTCTGGAATATGTGCCTTTTTACATTTGGCTACTGTAGGTCACTTTCTGTCCCAGTGTCTCATTCCTCTTCAGAGCGCTGTTTGCCAAAGACATCAAACTACTTCTCCCACTGGAAGTCTGGACAAGGGTTGGAGCACAAAATTCAACCTTCAAGTAGTTTTTGGTCTCTTGGAAGTTTAATGGAGAAGAACCGGGTTAATTTCATTGGCCATTTTAACCCTTCCGAAGCACACATCGCTTTCATGTTCTGAACCAAAATATGCAATTTAAAGTCTAAGAGGTGCTTTTCCAAATACTTGGTGCACGCAGCTTTCAAAGCCCCAGCCCTCTGCTCGGATGACCTATGCTGTGGCCTGTTTAGCAGGCTTGAACTGGAGCTGTTCTTGAAAGTCCTGTATGAGGACTTTGCACCTTGAACAAGGTAGTTGCTGACTGCTGAGCAGACAGTGTTCAGAGAGGCTAGAAACAGCAGTATTCCTTCTTCTCGAGTGGAAAGCTGCAAAATAACACTAGTCACAAAGCATTTAAAAATGGTTATTTTAAGGATGTTGGAAGAAACCACCAGATGTCTTTGCAGGTGGAGAATAGGACCTTCTTTGCCTCTCTTCCTCTAGAGAGGGTTCACACCAAGATGGCACCAGCCTCTCAACACAACCTGAAATGAGCTAGTCCATGTCCTGGCCTGCAGCTGTGGTGCTAGGTGGAGTCTAGCCCCAAACTTGGTGCTGATGTTTGAGCTGCTGGGCTGTGCCATGTTGTGTGCTGTGATGGCTCTGTTCTCTGTACCTAAATGAGGTAGGGTAATGCCAGCTGGCTAACAGAGCCAGCTGTGAACTGTGTCTCCTGCAGTGTAGACACAACCTGAGGAAAGGCACTGCTGAGGTGGTGTCATCCGTGGCCTTGTGTGAGTAAAGTAATTCAACATTGGAAATTGAGCAGCAACACACAGGTGAAGGAGCAGATAGGCATTTCTTAGGGCAAGCCAGAGTGCAGAGCCCAAAAAAGGGCCTGTTTCAGCTGCTTTGCAGCTGTTTCTGAGCAGTTTCATTCTGGTAGCTCCAGAGAGATACTTCGAGGTGATGGGAGGCCAGAAGGGAGCTATTCCCTATCCTCTGACTTGGAAACCTGTAATCCCAAGTTTGTGGCAGTGTCTCTACAGCTGTTGATGTGAACTGGCAACCGTGGTGGTGGCCCTGCAGATGTTCCTTCAGTCCTGTGTCAGTTGGAGTTGGGAGCCTCTTGTGGGAAAGGACACTAGTTGTTAGCCAGTGTGAATTAGGATTAAAGACCGGGCAAATAGCACTGTGAATTCAGCTGACAGTTCTGGTGTAAAGCAATGCCACTCATTAGAAATACTCTAGTCTTAAACCTCCTGCTGGTACCAATGCATGGAGACAGGTCCTCGCCAGTGTGAGGGGGCTGTGTGAGCTTGCATCCCAGCTGGTGAAATTCATCGGGAGAGGCTTCTGCTGGCAAGTTGAGTAACCTGTGAGGACTTTTCATCAGTTTTTGCCCTCGAATCTGTCCATCTTACGATCAGAAAAGTTGTGTTTTGGCTTCATCCCCAAGGGGTAGGGGGAAACATGTATAATTCATGATATTAGGAAGAAAAAAGTTGTTTGATTACTTTTCAGTTGACTGCTATCTTATTGTAGTTGATACATACAATATAATAGCACTGTATTTTAAGCGTTTAGTTTTTTACATTCTCTTTAACTATGTTTTTAAATGCGATAAAATCATTTTAGCTTTTGAAAGTTTAAATGGTTTGGTCTTGGTTAGGTGAAGACCCTCTTTTTCTTTTTTAAATGGGTCAAGCATTAGATACATCAACTGGTTGCATTCTGATTAGAAGGGTCCACAAAGATAATGCATAAGATAGAATATTCAATTAAATTTTGTTTCTTAAACTATCAATGTGAATGTCATAATTATATATATTTTGTGGAAAATGGGAAATTATTTCTCCTAAGTATAAGTTATTGTGCAAAATATGGTATCGTTAAAGAAAATGATAGTTTAAGTTTTAGTTTTAGAAATCTTAAAGATATAAAAGTGTATTGCATATGCATAAACAAATTTCATTTGTTCTATTTAATTTTTATGTAGCTGTGTAAAGTGCTAGGTAACTTCTTTTTTCGCTTATCCATTAAAACAACCTTGTTACTTGAATATTCGTGTTTAACTGGTTTGAAACAGTGATCAATTTTTGTAATATAATCTTATAACCAAGGGAAAAAAAATACATGCCTCAGTTGTGCTTAACAATACAGCAACAATGTACAATCAGATGCTTAAGACCATAGTAGCCATAACTGGTAGTGCAACCACAATGGTTGTGTCTTGATATATTTAATACCAATGGGGATAATGAATTCTTAATATATTTTTACAAGTTTGAAACCAGGAAGACCCCATAAATATCCACTAGAACACTTTTTTTAATAGTTAATATGAGTGAAACTCTGAAAGCAGTGTCCTGACAAACATTTTTCTTTCCTGTACAAATACATCTGAAACATTATGTATTAAAATATGCTCATTGTCACTTTAAATTTCAGTTTTTATTCTCTAAATCGCTAATATGCTGTTGGTATTCTTGCACACCAAATATGAGCCAAACAGTGCATTACACTAACTTGATCACTGGATTTGTGAACATAAATCTCCAAGTCAATGAAGCGCAAAAATATCGTAGGAGATTTTTCTGATAATGTGTTTTTTCAAATCTGTATGAAATTATGCATAGCCCATTCAGTGATGAGTGGCCTGATATTTACTCTTTACAAAAAAAAAATAATTATTTTTATTAGCTCCAGCTTGTCTTCAGCAACACAAAATCTAGTGATCTTGTGCAATGCCCCTAAAGCAAATACTTTCTGCCACTCCCTGGATTAATGCAGCTTTTCCTGTTGATAGTAAAGCACAATTGCAGTGAAAGTTACAGTTCAGAAGATGGAAGGTCAGTATAGTCTATGCATGTTGTATAATAATGAGTGTTTACATTCATATTCTCCTAAAATAAAATTTATACTGGAGTGTATAGTATTCCATTATGTAGATTTTATCAATTTTGTTAACTGCTTATAGATTGCTTAAAAGAAGTTTTTTCAAGATTTTAAAAGATGTATAAGGTTAAGTTTGCAAATATAATGGAAATGCTGTATAGCTTTTGAAGTGATAAAATACTCGTTGGGATTTTAAAGAAAGTATGTTGTAATAATGCTGTTGTAAGTAATATTTTAAATGTCTTTTTTGCCTGTTTTCTATTATTCAGCACACTTACTGTGATGAATGTTCATAGCATTATAAAATTGCTTAGCCACTGAAAAGTAACATTTGGTTTTGAATTATTTTACTGTATGAGGAATTATAGTGGGGTAAATTCCTTTGTGAAATTCTACATAATTCATTTTTCTATGATTTCCAATGTTTGCTGACATCAAATAAAATTTTTTCAAGCCATTGATGTAATAAAATACGTAGTAAAATGTTATTGATGTAAAATGTGGTTCTGATATGTAATTGATCCCCTACCTTTTAGATTTTGGTCAGGAGAACCAGCCAGGGTTTGCCCCTTCCTGTATTGCATCATGGATGTGTAGGTGTCGTTGGAGCGCAGGTTAATTGCTGCTGGAGTCCGTGGGCACAGTCCTTGTCTCTTGGGAAACTCGAGCAGCCTTTAGTACGGTGCTACCAGCTGGAACTGCCTGGTACAGTTCATGCCAGTGGCCCTGGAGAGACCACTACTCCTTTTTTGATAGCATGGCATATTTCTTCTGCTGACCGTGCAGCTGCACGCTCTGCAGTCCTGCTGGCATGGCCGTTGCCGTCGATCATGGGGCAGCTCTTGTGTTTGGGAAGCGGTGGGACTGGGATACTGGCTGGTCTTGAGCGGGGAGAGTGGGGGTCTAGCTTGTAGGGTATGGATGGAGACTAGCTGACAGTGTCATCGCTGTTAAAACGAGGACCTGAAGAATAAACTGCTGTCTGCCGCGTGCAAAGAGCTAGCGCTTGGCTGTACAAGTTAACAAGATTGTCATCTTTATCGTGCAATGAAAGAAATGCATTTAAAATATATAGGGAAAGGCAACTCTTACCCTTGAAGCTTAGCAGTGCATAGATTCTGCTATCGCAGATGCTCAAAATGGGAGGAAATTTTGCATTGGGGTTGAACCCTAGGATTTTCAGGAAGGTAGTATTTTCTGTCTTCACAGGCTGGGTGCAACTAAGTACTAAATGCAAAAGCACAGCCAAGACATGATAGGGCAGTTTGCAGGAAACTGCTTGGTGCTGTCTTGTCACATTCAACAGGCAGGGTACCAGCAGTGCTTCGTGAGTCTCGGTTTTAGCGCAGGACAAATGATGAGGAGTTTTCTGCTTTGCTCACATGAGTTGGATGCAGCAGAACTAATACAGCAAGATACTGTGCTGGTTTCCAATGCTGTAGTGTATGGAGGGCAGGAATTGTGCCTTTCTATATTGTAAAGCAAGAGGGGTGGGGAGGGAGATGGGCTTGGGGTTTTGGAAGTACAGACAGCATTTTCAAGAGTTGAGAGTGTTTCCTTACTGGAAAGTATCTTTGTAACTTTCCTGGTGATGGAGAATACGGTACCAGTATTGTAAGGTAGTGATCCACATTTTTAGTGGATT